CCTGGACTCCTGGACGACCTCTTGGAGGCCTCTTGGGCCGTCTTGGAGGCCTCTTGGGGACGTCTTGGGCCGTCTTGGGCCATCTTGAGGCCATCTTAGGCCGTCTTAGGTGCATCTTGGGCCGTCTTGGAGGCATATTGGGGCCAGCTTAGCCGTCTTGGAGGCCATCTTGGCCGTCTTGGAGGCATATGGGGGGCCATCTTGAGCCGTCTTGGAGGAAACATTTGGTGAATTGAGCTCCCGGGTAATCCTCCCGGAACACCGGCCGGACGGGCCGAAGCCCCAGGGGGAGTTCTTTTGGAAAAAGAAACAAAACCAAAACCATATAGTTTGGCACGCCAGGCACCCCTGCGATGAATCGACAAGGGGCGGCGGATCGAAGACGCCTACGGCGAATCACCGCCGCCCCCTGCCTTTTTGGAAGCGCCTATGTGGCCGAACGTTGAGGCCAGACCTGCCAAGCTATCGGACCATGTGTTCCCCGAATCGGTTTGGAAAGCCTTCGGGGAACACGTGGGCATCTCGAAGGTCATCTTGGCCGCGTCTGGAGGCCATTTTGACCCTTTCGGGCCTTCTTGGAGGACGTCTTGGGGGGCTCTTGGACCGTCTTGGAGGCCATCTTGAGCGTCTTGGAGGCCTCTTGGGTCGTCTCGGGGGCCTCTTGGGGCCGTGTCTTGGGAGCACTTGGGCCTTTTCGGGCCGTCGGCAGGCAGGAAAAAAGCAAATGCCACAATCCTTCAAAAACCCATGGGAAATCAATGATTTTGGCCTTTTCGGGCCTTCCTGGAGGCCCTCTTGGAGGCCTCTTGGGCCGTCTTGGGCCATCTTAGGGCCATGTTCGGCCGTCCTGGTGGGCTCCTGGTCCGTCTGACGCCGTCGGAAGCCGTTTGGGGGGCCTCTATGGGCCGACTTGGGGCCCTCTTGGGATTGCTCCAGGGCCGTCTTGGAGGCCATCCTGGGCGTCTTAAAGGCCTCCTGTGCCGTCTTGGAGGCCTCTTGGGGCCGTTTTGGGGCCCTCTTGGGCCGTTCTGGGGCCATCTTGGAGGCCTCTTGGGCGATCTTTCGGCGATCTGTTGGTGCTCTTGGGCCGTCTCGGGCCGTCCGAAGGCCGAAAAGAAGGAAATGACAACATCCGTCAAAAACCGAAGGAACATCACGGTTTTTGGCCTCTTCTGGCCTTCCTGGAGGCCCTCTTGGGAGCCTCTTGGGCCGTCTGGGGCCAGCTTCGAGCCAACTTCGGCCATCTTGGTGGGTTCCTGGCACGTCTGACGCCGTCGGGAGCCGTCTTGGGGGCCTCCGAGCAGGCTGACCCCGCGCGCCCCGGCCAAAGGCCGGGGAGCATGCGGCAAGGCCAAAGGAC